CGTTGTAATCGGTTTCTAGGTTGCCCAGCTTTCATTCTCGCCATGATCTTAGCTTTCAGGTCAGTTGCTGCCTCGCTCAGCATTTCATTCATTGGGGCTGGCCTCCCAATCTCATCATCTGCATTCATTGGGGCTTGCCTCCCAATCTCTGGTATGACCTCCTCCTCTGATCTGGCAGCCTGGGGCCCTTCACCATGGAACCTGCGTTGTACCTCATCAATCTCAAGTTGTGACAGCAGTTGCCGTTTGTGGATGTTGGAACACGAGCTACTAGTTGTTTCGTGGTCAACCGTGACTGTGGGTTTTGAAGTAACGATTTAGCCCACATTCTCTGCATGTAACCCCTCTGACTAGGGTTGCTTGAGTCGTAGCATTCCAACAGAGCCATGTTATCGCATCTCGCCCATCTCCGCTTTGTTCCAGTAGCCCATTTTTCATCAAGGTGCTCTGGTTCCCCAGCACCTGACGCAGACCTTGTTTGGCCGGGCGACGTCTGAGCCGGCATGTCATTCATTTTATTGTCTCTCATCATTGCATGAGGTAGGCATTAGCGTGAAGGATCTTGCCCAAGGACCAACACTGGATGGTGTTATGTGCTCATTTTTGCCCCAAGCGGGATTCGAACCACCGTCTCCCGTACGCCAAACCGATGCCTTACCAACTGAGCTATCCAGCCGCCCTACACCAGGGCACATATATATATATATATATTAGGGTGGTCCACATTTTCATGGCAAAAAAAAAAAGTTTGTCGGATTCGTCGGGCCGGGTCGAAATTCTTGTCGATACTATGGTACAAGGTTCTGTGCAAAATTTCATTCCGATCTGATGATATTTTCACTGTATATCATACAAAGTATATAACACGAGTTTCACTTTTTGAAAAAAAAAACTGAACTTTTTCATGGCATTCTAATTTAAGTAAAAGCTTTGAATCGCAGTTCTGTCAACACAGTGCTGGAATTTTGTCAGCGTTACCATTCCTCACTATTGCTTGAAGACGAGCACAAAATTCCACCACCGAAACATCAAAGGCAGGACACAATGTGTGCCTACTTTGAGAAAGTGAGTGAAATCCACTTTCTTTCTTGCAATACTGTATATAGCCCCCTCTGGTCCCAGACTCGGATGTATATCCTTTTACAGCTGTTGAACAACATGCGCCTTTTACGGCTGCCCATTACGACACGGAACAGTGAACCTCTCACAGTAAATTCCTTGTTGAGGAATAGTGTCCTGTTGGGCACTCGTGTGAGCCAAGCAGTGTGCATTACAGAATGTGTGAGAAAGAAGTTCACGTTTAGAGCTGTACAATAATTATGTTATAAAATGACAATTGGGCAAAATGCCTCATCATGACAGCAACTGGATGCCGTCTGGAGTGGACTAAAGCAATGGATGGCCCCCTATATGTTCTACATACCGCCCTGTACTTTGCACATCTACTTATCTGAACACAAGTCGAACTAAGTGACTGCAAAACCACTGCGCTTCTTGCTATAGAAATGACTTTGTGAAAATAAAAGGTAAAAGTGTCTTGCTTTGTGCATATCACCGCGCGTCGTCTTTTTCTTACATTTGTGAGTTAGTGAACAGAAAGGAGCACACTTACAAGAAGTCATCTTGAATGTTGCCGTTGAAGGTTCCACAAAGTCCCACTGTGTCATCCTTCCATTGTGCGCTGGCCTGCAGGTAGAGACGAAACTCCTTCCAGGCGTACTGCAGACGGAGGCCAAACATCGTCTTCACTTGGAGGAACATAGACGACAGCTCCTGAATGTGGAAGTTGTCTGCAAGACGTCAAGGATGACTATAGTAAAGTGCAAATCAGCAATATTTACATGCTTGTTTTTGTGAAACCAAGTAAACTGGAACATTCATCAAGAACTTCATTGGTACTTATTGATCAGTGTTACTGCACATCGCTCATCTGGACACGGTAGATGCACATGGTAAAAAGGACGTTCATGGATAATATCTCATAGAGCACACATGATTGAAGTCAAAATGCGGGAAGGGGATAAATGAAAGGTTACCGTCAGAGTAGGGCAGGGAGATGCGGTAATGTCCGGCAATGAAGACCTCACCATTGTGGCTCAGTGTAATCTCCATTCTAGCATCCTCGTCAATAACTAAATTGACAGATTGGATGCAAGACCCGTCTAGATTCTGCAATCAAAAGAACGCACACACTCTCAGAGTCGTGTGTGGGCGTCAGAGTGAATTTCTGAACGCGACCCTAAGTTCATGGTCTGGGCTTTAAAACAATATCAAATTTAAAACAAATTTCCCCTAAGTATTTTTTTTCGGCAATGAAGACCTCACCATTGTGGCTCAGTGTAATCTCCATTCTAGCATCCTCGTCAATAACTAAATTGACAGATTGGATGCAAGACCCGTCTAGATTCTGCAATCAAAAGAACGCACACACTCTCAGAGTCGTGTGTGGGCGTCAGAGTGAATTTCTGAACGCGACCCTAAGTTCATGGTCTGGGCTTTAAAACAATATCAAATTTAAAACAAATTTCCCCTAAGTATTTTTTTTAGGGGAAATTACAACTTACAAGGAAGAAAGATAGCAAGAAAACCAGCAAAATAGCAGGGTAAAACTACAATTAACGAATTTATGGTGAAAAATGAAAAGCCGGAATACAGTGAATCCACAACAACCGAACCGCAAAGTAGCGAGGGGGCACTGTCGTCTTTGTACTGTACAAGCAAATTGAAATCAAACATGCAGTTGACTCACAGCTCCACAAGGGGCATTCTGGATGGTGACGGTGAACTTCCCTGAGTTGCGACTCTTGGCAAGGACGTACTGACACGTTGCTGGAAAGGTGTAGATACGCCCATCGAATGACTGGAAATAGATATCGCCAGTCACAGAGCATTCACCTGTTGGGCAAGGGGAAGAATTTCTAAATTAGGCTGGGTGCAGAATTTTTGAATGTGCATATTTTCATTCCTGCACCTTGCTTCGTGCTTGTTTTAAATTGGGTAACTAAGGGAGAAAATGAATGGAAATGGAAGCTATGGTGGTAAAATCCTATTCTTATTCGTATTTATGCTGGAATAGAGCAAGACGTTGCAGCAAATAAAGCTGTGCCTCAAAAAGACATTGCAGCAAATAAAGCTGTGCCTCAAATACCAATGTACCAGACTTCAAGCAAATACAGAACATAATAGATTTCCATGTATTTTGTTTCACTTTGCCAGCAACACATACCAGTAACCTCACATCCAGTTCTCCTCAACATGTATTTTTACAGGTACTGCCATTCAGTCACCAAAATAAGAAGAGTTAAATTCACTGTCCATCCATCCATTTTCTGATCCGCTTTATCCTCACGAGGGTCGCGGGGGGTGCTGGAGCCTATCCCAGCTGTCTTTGGGGAGTAGGCGGTGGACAACCTGAACTTGGCAGCCAGTTGCAGGGCACACATAGACGAACAACCATTCTCACTCACAATCACACCAAGGGACAATTTCGGGTGTTCCATTTTGGAATATGGGAGGAAACCGGAGTACCCGGAGAAAACCTACGCAGGCACAGGGAGAACTCCACACAGGAAGGCCTGAGCTAGAATCAAACCCTGCACCTCTGCACTGTGAGGCGGACGTGCTAACAAGTCGGGCACCGTGCCGGCCTAAATTCACTAGTCATTCACTAATCATTGCCTTGTGATACCTGATCAGATAACTTTGTAAAAATGCAGCCATTACGAGAGGGTGGAGACCAACCTGGAACATACCACACTGAGGAATATGGTCCCTCCAACTGCTCAGGGGATGATCAGCATGGGCACAGGCTCGGGAGTACTCCGTAAACACTTGACATACCGCATCATCAGTTGGACCTGACCTTTAAATAAGGGTACACAACTAGGTAAACTTGTAATGGCTTTGTATTGTTGCTTTATTCAGACATCAACATTTACACACTTATTAGAGTGAGTGAATGTATAGGTAGAGGAGACGCAGATGATTTATGTTCTCTGTAGGAGGATCACTGTCCAGCACTTTGAAAACTCCTGAGTTACACAATATTCCACACAAGACCTCAGAGAGAGAATTTTGCCACACCTGAAAATGACAAGCGCAACTTCGTGCAGATTTTTTTTTTCTTACAAGCAGATGTCGTTGAAGCAGCTGGCCATGTAGGACAAGGGGCTGACAAAGTCATGGCAGCTTTGGAATGGTGGATCCAGCAGCATTAAACATATTTCCTCCACTTTCTGATGGAAAGAGCAGGAAATGAATTACATTTATAGCAACAATCTTCAAAACTATAAATGAATGGTCGTGGTTGACACAATGTACGATGCCTCCTCCAAATGTTTGCCATACTGTGATACTATGTCACTACTATAGTCAACAAAAGAATTAGGTCACAATAATTAGGTTAGCTCTTAAATACACTACTCACTCATATATATACATACATACATATATACATACAGTATATTGCCATGAATGAGTCTTTGTCAGAGATTCTTACCAGCAAGAGATGCACATCGACTTCTGTACAAGGTGAGGGGAAACCAGAAGGCACCGTGGGACATGGGGCCTGGAGAGGCGCTGTCTCCGCCCAGCTGTTTCCAAATATTTCTATTTCATGAGTAAGGACACCTGCAAAAGTTGCACAAATTTGCTTGTCATAATTTTCAAGCAATGTCATGTATGTCATTTGGTTTTTCATCTAAAACAGTCAACTGTGGACTTCTAACAAAAAGCATTTCAACATGGTCAGCTGTTCCTATTGTTGGACCTAATTCTGTATTTTACAAAATGCAGATTATTGTGGCAAATCTTTAGAATACACCATATGTCAAAGGTTGTTGAAGTATGCTTTACAAATGCTCGTGTGTATGATATAACTTTATGAGAAAAAAGGAGCATCAGCAGAGCGCAGATGCGGATGTGGAACTTTGAGTCGCCGCTTGGAATTGAAGCGGATTTACATGGGACAGGAGATGTGAGCCAATCTTTTTTTTCGTCAATGGACGCTACAGCTTCTTGTTTGCTTTCAAAATTAGCTTGTAGCAGTGCACATTTTCAGCATGAAGTATTTGATCCACTGGTGAAAGGACACTTTAATTGTGAAATTACAACTTACAAGGAAGAAAGATAGCAAGAAAACCAGCAAAATAGCAGGGTAAAACTACAATTAACGAATTTATGGTGAAAAATGAAAAGCCGGAATACAGTGAATCCACAACAACCGAACCGCAAAGTAGCGAGGGGGCACTGTCGTCTTTGTACTGTACAAGCAAATTGAAATCAAACATGCAGTTGACTCACAGCTCCACAAGGGGCATTCTGGATGGTGACGGTGAACTTCCCTGAGTTGCGACTCTTGGCAAGGACGTACTGACACGTTGCTGGAAAGGTGTAGATACGCCCATCGAATGACTGGAAATAGATATCGCCAGTCACAGAGCATTCACCTGTTGGGCAAGGGGAAGAATTTCTAAATTAGGCTGGGTGCAGAATTTTTGAATGTGCATATTTTCATTCCTGCACCTTGCTTCGTGCTTGTTTTAAATTGGGTAACTAAGGGAGAAAATGAATGGAAATGGAAGCTATGGTGGTAAAATCCTATTCTTATTCGTATTTATGCTGGAATAGAGCAAGACGTTGCAGCAAATAAAGCTGTGCCTCAAAAAGACATTGCAGCAAATAAAGCTGTGCCTCAAATACCAATGTACCAGACTTCAAGCAAATACAGAACATAATAGATTTCCATGTATTTTGTTTCACTTTGCCAGCAACACATACCAGTAACCTCACATCCAGTTCTCCTCAACATGTATTTTTACAGGTACTGCCATTCAGTCACCAAAATAAGAAGAGTTAAATTCACTGTCCATCCATCCATTTTCTGATCCGCTTTATCCTCACGAGGGTCGCGGGGGGTGCTGGAGCCTATCCCAGCTGTCTTTGGGGAGTAGGCGGTGGACACCCTGAACTTGGCAGCCAGTTGCAGGGCACACATAGACGAACAACCATTCTCACTCACAATCACACCAAGGGACAATTTCGGGTGTTCCATTTTGGAATATGGGAGGAAACCGGAGTACCCGGAGAAAACCTACGCAGGCACAGGGAGAACTCCACACAGGAAGGCCTGAGCTAGAATCAAACCCTGCACCTCTGCACTGTGAGGCGGACGTGCTAACAAGTCGGGCACCGTGCCGGCCTAAATTCACTAGTCATTCACTAATCATTGCCTTGTGATACCTGATCAGATAACTTTGTAAAAATGCAGCCATTACGAGAGGGTGGAGACCAACCTGGGCAGTTGTATTCGGTGCAGTTCCACAATCCAGCTACACATGTGCTGACACGCAAAGGAAATACATTGGTCATCTGATAATGTGGGCCATTGTGACAGATATTATATTTAGCAAAAAATAATGACACATCGGTCTGTCAATGGTTCATTTAAGGCACACGGGCTGAAAGGATAAAAATCACAAAAGGCCATAATGTGTCTTACCAGTTTCTACATTCCTCTTGTACGATTTGTCCAGATGGGTAGGACACGCCATGATACTCACAGGGACAGTCAGAAGGCATCACACAGCTGCCGTCCTCAAGTATCAAACCTGAGCACAGAACAATCTACGATGAATTTCATTTCTTCAACGGTCAAAAAAATGGCATCATACAAATGGAAAATGATCGAATCACCATTGGGACAATAACATCCATCCAGGCAGGCCAGCCTGCTATCGATGCATGTTCGCTCTTGCTTGCAGGATGATGGGCAACAGCTGATACATTCAAGGTACTGCAGACCTTCAGGACACTCCTTCACTGGTTGCAATTAACCCAAAAAGAAAGAAGACACAAAATGGTTCGAAGATAAATCATCGGGTGAGTATGCACAAATCTGATTAAAATCGGCCTCAGCATTTCCTCATTCTTGAGGTCTTGAGCGTGTGATGAAAACTTATTCAAATTGAGCATCTATGCCAATTAGGAAATAGGACATTTTGGGGCATGCTAGTAGCATGCGGCCATATTGGGCATCCAGAATAAACAGAAACATCAGAAACATACCACACTGAGGAATATGGTCCCTCCAACTGCTCAGGGGATGATCAGCATGGGCACAGGCTCGGGAGTACTCCGTAAACACTTGACATACCGCATCATCAGTTGGACCTGACCTTTAAATAAGGGTACACAACTAGGTAAACTTGTAATGGCTTTGTATTGTTGCTTTATTCAGACATCAACATTTACACACTTATTAGAGTGAGTGAATGTATAGGTAGAGGAGACGCAGATGATTTATGTTCTCTGTAGGAGGATCACTGTCCAGCACTTTGAAAACTCCTGAGTTACACAATATTCCACACAAGACCTCAGAGAGAGAATTTTGCCACACCTGAAAATGACAAGCGCAACTTCGTGCAGATTTTTTTTTTCTTACAAGCAGATGTCGTTGAAGCAGCTGGCCATGTAGGACAAGGGGCTGACAAAGTCATGGCAGCTTTGGAATGGTGGATCCAGCAGCATTAAACATATTTCCTCCACTTTCTGATGGAAAGAGCAGGAAATGAATTACATTTATAGCAACAATCTTCAAAACTATAAATGAATGGTCGTGGTTGACACAATGTACGATGCCTCCTCCAAATGTTTGCCATACTGTGATACTATGTCACTACTATAGTCAACAAAAGAATTAGGTCACAATAATTAGGTTAGCTCTTAAATACACTACTCACTCATATATATACATACATACATATATACATACAGTATATTGCCATGAATGAGTCTTTGTCAGAGATTCTTACCAGCAAGAGATGCACATCGACTTCTGTACAAGGTGAGGGGAAACCAGAAGGCACCGTGGGACATGGGGCCTGGAGAGGCGCTGTCTCCGCCCAGCTGTTTCCAAATATTTCTATTTCATGAGTAAGGACACCTGCAAAAGTTGCACAAATTTGCTTGTCATAATTTTCAAGCAATGTCATGTATGTCATTTGGTTTTTCATCTAAAACAGTCAACTGTGGACTTCTAACAAAAAGCATTTCAACATGGTCAGCTGTTCCTATTGTTGGACCTAATTCTGTATTTTACAAAATGCAGATTATTGTGGCAAATCTTTAGAATACACCATATGTCAAAGGTTGTTGAAGTATGCTTTACAAATGCTCGTGTGTATGATATAACTTTATGAGAAAAAAGGAGCATCAGCAGAGCGCAGATGCGGATGTGGAACTTTGAGTCGCCGCTTGGAATTGAAGCGGATTTACATGCGGGTGTTCCATTTTGGAATATGGGAGGAAACCGGAGTACCCGGAGAAAACCTACGCAGGCACAGGGAGAACTCCACACAGGAAGGCCTGAGCTAGAATCAAACCCTGCACCTCTGCACTGTGAGTTAGCTTGTAGCAGTGCACATTTTCAGCATGAAGTATTTGATCCACTGGTGAAAGGACACTTTAATTGTCTCGTCTTTCATCTATTACTGCTTAGAACAACAAAATGCATGCAGAAAAAGTGGTTAAGATTGGACGACTGTCAGTGTCTTATGTGTTGTGTTGTATTATGGCACCGTGCCGGCCTAAATTCACTAGTCATTCACTAATCATTGCCTTGTGATACCTGATCAGATAACTTTGTAAAAATGCAGCCATTACGAGAGGGTGGAGACCAACCTGGGCAGTTGTATTCGGTGCAGTTCCACAATCCAGCTACACATGTGCTGACACGCAAAGGAAATACATTGGTCATCTGATAATGTGGGCCATTGTGACAGATATTATATTTAGCAAAAAATAATGACACATCGGTCTGTCAATGGTTCATTTAAGGCACACGGGCTGAAAGGATAAAAATCACAAAAGGCCATAATGTGTCTTACCAGTTTCTACATTCCTCTTGTACGATTTGTCCAGATGGGTAGGACACGCCATGATACTCACAGGGACAGTCAGAAGGCATCACACAGCTGCCGTCCTCAAGTATCAAACCTGAGCACAGAACAATCTACGATGAATTTCATTTCTTCAACGGTCAAAAAAATGGCATCATACAAATGGAAAATGATCGAATCACCATTGGGACAATAACATCCATCCAGGCAGGCCAGCCTGCTATCGATGCATGTTCGCTCTTGCTTGCAGGATGATGGGCAACAGCTGATACATTCAAGGTACTGCAGACCTTCAGGACACTCCTTCACTGGTTGCAATTAACCCAAAAAGAAAGAAGACACAAAATGGTTCGAAGATAAATCATCGGGTGAGTATGCACAAATCTGATTAAAATCGGCCTCAGCATTTCCTCATTCTTGAGGTCTTGAGCGTGTGATGAAAACTTATTCAAATTGAGCATCTATGCCAATTAGGAAATAGGACATTTTGGGGCATGCTAGTAGCATGCGGCCATATTGGGCATCCAGAATAAACAGAAACATCAGAAACATACCACACTGAGGAATATGGTCCCTCCAACTGCTCAGGGGATGATCAGCATGGGCACAGGCTCGGGAGTACTCCGTAAACACTTGACATACCGCATCATCAGTTGGACCTGACCTTTAAATAAGGGTACACAACTAGGTAAACTTGTAATGGCTTTGTATTGTTGCTTTATTCAGACATCAACATTTACACACTTATTAGAGTGAGTGAATGTATAGGTAGAGGAGACGCAGATGATTTATGTTCTCTGTAGGAGGATCACTGTCCAGCACTTTGAAAACTCCTGAGTTACACAATATTCCACACAAGACCTCAGAGAGAGAATTTTGCCACACCTGAAAATGACAAGCGCAACTTCGTGCAGATTTTTTTTTTCTTACAAGCAGATGTCGTTGAAGCAGCTGGCCATGTAGGACAAGGGGCTGACAAAGTCATGGCAGCTTTGGAATGGTGGATCCAGCAGCATTAAACATATTTCCTCCACTTTCTGATGGAAAGAGCAGGAAATGAATTACATTTATAGCAACAATCTTCAAAACTATAAATGAATGGTCGTGGTTGACACAATGTACGATGCCTCCTCCAAATGTTTGCAATACTGTGATACTATGTCACTACTATAGTCAACAAAAGAATTATGTCACAATAATTAGGTTAGCTCTTAAATACACTACTCACTCATATATATACATACATACATATATACATACAGTATATTGCCATGAATGAGTCTTTGTCAGAGATTCTTACCAGCAAGAGATGCACATCGACTTCTGTACAAGGTGAGGGGAAACCAGAAGGCACCGTGGGACATGGGGCCTGGAGAGGCGCTGTCTCCGCCCAGCTGTTTCCAAATATTTCTATTTCATGAGTAAGGACACCTGCAAAAGTTGCACAAATTTGCTTGTCATAATTTTCAAGCAATGTCATGTATGTCATTTGGTTTTTCATCTAAAACAGTCAACTGTGGACTTCTAACAAAAAGCATTTCAACATGGTCAGCTGTTCCTATTGTTGGACCTAATTCTGTATTTTACAAAATGCAGATTATTGTGGCAAATCTTTAGAATACACCATATGTCAAAGGTTGTTGAAGTATGCTTTACAAATGCTCGTGTGTATGATATAACTTTATGAGAAAAAAGGAGCATCAGCAGAGCGCAGATGCGGATGTGGAACTTTGAGTCGCCGCTTGGAATTGAAGCGGATTTACATGGGACAGGAGATGTGAGCCAATCTTTTTTTTCGTCAATGGACGCTACAGCTTCTTGTTTGCTTTCAAAATTAGCTTGTAGCAGTGCACATTTTCAGCATGAAGTATTTGATCCACTGGTGAAAGGACACTTTAATTGTCTCGTCTTTCATCTATTACTGCTTAGAACAACAAAATGCATGCAGAAAAAGTGGTTAAGATTGGACGACTGTCAGTGTCTTATGTGTTGTGTTGTATTATTTTGTAATTTTATGTTAACTGTTCTGCTGATGCTGACGTAGGCACCTGCAGCGGCTCATCTCTCTCTCTCCTCTGGTTGAGAGGAAAGAAATTGAATCTGTGCTGCATGTTTCACATAGAGCACATTCGACGATGAAGTTGACTTGACTTGAATTCAGTGTTTTTAACTGTTTAAAAAAAATGTCATGACCAAACCAAAAATAACCTGCATATCATCTTCAAAAAAAAGAAGTCACTTTAGACTGCTTGCTAACAAGGTGATCTTACCGTAGCTGGCCCTGAGTTCATCCTCTACATCTGCATTGAAGTTCCCACACAGGCCGCAGGTTCTGCCCACAAATTCTGGGCTGAGTTTAATGTAGACTGAGCCGCTGCGTCCTTCCCAGGCCAGCGTGAAGCCTTGCGTCTGCGACACCAACACGTACTGGGAGATCTGCTCTAGATGCAGGTCATGGATGTGATGTGGAAGCTGCAAACTGGATTATTTTTTTAATCATAAAATAGAATCATGAATCAAAAAAGTATTGAGTAGCACATTCTCTTTAGTACATAGAGTCTTTGAAAAACAGGAAGCCCTTATTCCAACACTAAGGAAAATAAGTTGTGAAATGTTAACACTATTAAACATGGGAATTCAGCAATTGAATAATTGCTGCTGTAATGAATATAACCAATTAATCAATCAATCAATCAATCGAACTTTATTTATATAGCACTTTTTATACGTAAAAATGCAACTCAATGCTCTGTCCAGTTAAAACATTTCAAACTTACAACATAAAAAGACGACCCTCCTCACCCTCAACATACACAAAGATATATCCCCACAAGCATGATTATGCCTGCACGCGTGCGCATACACACACACACACACACACGTGCAAAACTTGCACATGATCCTGATATTAAGAAGACACGGCAAGGCACAGAGAAACCGTATGAGGAAAAAAGCACCTAAGGGGACCTGATCCACGCTGAGTGACAGCAACCATACCTCCCAGCATTGACACCCCCGCCCCCACCCCCGAGAGGAAACACTGGCTCTTAAAACAATTAGTAAATAAATAAATATAAAAGGCTGACATTAAAATAAGTATATAAATAAGTTATTCAAAAGCCAAGCGAAAAAGATGTGCCTTTCTGGTTTCCTTTCTGAACTCTGACTGTAAATTTCCCCAGTGTGGGACAAATAAAAGGATATCTTATCTTAAGCTTCCTCTTAAAAAGATCATCAGACTCTGCCGACCTGATGTTCTCTGGCAGGTTATTCCATAGCTGGGGACCAAAATGGCTGAATGCAGCCTCACCGTGTGTTTTGTTCCTTACCCTGGGAATAATTAAAAGGCCAGTGCCAGAGGACCTCAGGATCCGCGACAGTTCATATGATCAAAGCAGGTCAGCTAAATAAGATGGCCCAAGACCGTTAAGACATTGAAAAACTAAAATACAAAACATATTTTGAATCATTTTTATGAAAGAAGGACCCGAAAGATAATGCAAAATAACTTTTTCCATCTTGTTTCAACTCCTAACCTTTGCCCTTTGAATGTCACGTAAGTGGCGTGCAACCGGATCTCACCCTCCCATGGAAGGAAAAGGCTGACCGAGCGCTGGCAGCTGTAAGACTCGGAGCCACAGTCTGCATCATTGTGCACCTGCGACATAAAAACATGTCCTTTTTGAATTGCATACACCATGGTACAAGGAGAACATTCTCTTTAGTTTGGGATTGTTTAAACTTGTCTGTCCTCAGCTCCAGATTTATGATGATGTGAGGATTTTATATACATGATGAGAAAAATATCTTATAATTTCCAAGAAAAAGAAAGCTACATTTACATTTTTGTTATTTGTTTCTTTGCCATACAAGTCAACATATTACTGTACGTAAAAATAGTCCATGGTGCAAAAACAAAGTTTGCAGACCACTGCTCTACATAAAATGTGACTGAATGGTTGTCTGATTTGGCAGTCCTATGATTGAACGGTGATTAGTGGGGGTGGGGTGGCTTCAAGAAACTTCCAGCTTCCCTGTACCCATGAACTGGAATAGTCAAGGAGACTGTCACGTTGATGTTAGGTCATCCAGGAAACCGTTGCGCAACAAAGCGAGCAATGGGCTGACAATAGCTTCATAAAGCCTGACATTTCAACACTGCATGCACTTCTATTATTAACCTTGCTTGCCGTTTGTTCAAGAGAAATTTTCTAGATGCCTCGTTCATGGTTATAGTCGCTCTTGTTTCAATAGTTGTCTTGTTTTGTAAGTAATTTTGCATTTCTTGTTATTCTTGGATTATTTAACTTGCGTGTATTTGAACTTTTGCCATTTCGTGGTGTGTATTTTCGGCGATCAAAGTAACCTTGGTGTTTGCAAGTGTTTTTTTGTTCTAATTGGCTTTTCCTGGTTTTGTGTTGCCAGCGCTTTCTGTTTATACTTTGTTGGTTATTTGCTTTTCTGTAAACATTTTTTTTGTACCATCGTTAGTCTGAGTCAATGTCCATCTGGTCCATATTCGGATCGTATCATCAATCCAAAAATTTTGAAACATTAAGAAAGGGTTACGGTCCTCGTGTTCATAACTCACCTGGACAACGATGCTGGCCTGAGGTGTTTCCTCGCACTCTTTCAGTAGCGTATATGTGCATCGGCCAGGGAAGTAGTAGTAGAGGCCATCAAAGGTCTCAAAGTTATATTGACCCCAGGTTCTGCATGTCATCTCCCTCTCAGCTCCAGGATTTGGAACTGAGGACATGAACCGGGAAGTCAGAAATAATCAAGATAGAATTTGCAAGTTCAGGCTAAAGAAAAGGAAGAGTGATCAAATCATGTGTCCATGCACAAAGCATCAGGAGCTATACTAGGGGGGCTTCAGTCACAGCTTGACCGGGTATTTTTTAAATTATTCATAAGATGTACCTGTCTGACACCGGTGGCCAGTGGCCTGAAATAGGCTGCAGTCACATGACTTGGATTGAGTGCACCAACCACCATTCAGGCATCGAAAAGAACATGACTCTACAAGAGATTAAGAAAAGTAGTTACAGTACACTGTTGCTCAGGAACATGCTTTTTAGACATAGATTACCCATCTATTCATTATCTTACTTTCTATGAGATACATCCTGGACTGGCCGTCAAGCAATCGCAGTCCACATGCACACTTAAGACAAACAACCATTGACGCTCACACGGATGGACAAGTCCCAGCCTCGTGTTCTTTATCCTGTATCCTGACTTGTTCTCGTCTGCGTACTAGGGCTAGCGAGAAGGCCTTACGTCGAGACTGGCCGTGCGCGTTCGGTGATTGGATTAGCGCCTTTTCTGTTTCCTGAGAATTGTATCCTGACTTGTTCAATAAAGATTTAAAAAAAAAAAAAAACATTGGATGAGCGCCACCCGCGAGAGCTGTCAATGCATTTTAACCCAAAATGGCTGAAGGAGAAGACGTTGATCTGGTTGTGGAACTACTTTCCACACAATTTTCAAGACAGACCTTCCACCAAAAGCTGGATATTGTGCGAAGAGGTCGCCCAACTCCTGCGCTAGCTAACCTGTCCCAGCAAGGAAAAGAGTTTGTCCGTCATTTTCAGACGAGCAATTATGAACGCTACCCGTGGCTCACAGCCTCTGTGAAATGCTGCAAATTGTACTGCTGGGAATGCCTATTGCTTGCAACTGACCGATTTGGTGTTTGGAGCCACACTGGATTGTTTTACTAAGGCAGCAAGGAAACGGCTGGGCACTTACAAGCTACGGTGCGTTTAAAAACGTTTGGGGACACTCGCGTAGATCTGCATCTCAGTGAACAGGCACGACATTGGTGAGTAAATGAATTTTATTTTACATTTCTTCTTGTCATTTCGTTGCGCAACAAAGCGAGCAATGGGCTGACAATAGCTTCATAAAGCCTGACATTTCAACACTGCATGCACTTCTATTATTAACCTTGCTTGCCGTTTGTTCAAGAGAAATTTTCTAGATGCCTCGTTCATGGTTATAGTCGCTCTTGTTTCAATAGTTTTCTTGTTTTGTAAGTAATTTTGCATTTCTTGTTATTCTTGGATTATTTAACTTGCGTGTATTTGAACTTTTGCCATTTCGTGGTGTGTATTTTCGGCGATCAAAGTAACCTTGGTGTTTGCAAGTGTCTTTTTGTTCTAATTGGCTTTTCCTGGGTTTGTGTTGCCAGCGCTGTCTGTTGGTGTTTGCAAGTGTCTTTTTGTTCTAATTGGCTTTTCCTGGTTTTGTGTTGCCAGCGCTTTCTGTTTATACTTTGTTGGTTATTTGCTTTTCTGTAAACATTTTTTTTGTACCATCGTTAGTCTGAGTCAATGTCCATCTGGTCCATATTCGGATCGTATCATCAATCCAAAAATTTTGAAACATTAAGAAAGGGTTACGGTCCTCGTGTTCATAACTCACCTGGACAACGATGCTGGCCTGAGGTGTTTCCTCGCACTCTTTCAGTAGCGTATATGTGCATCGGCCAGGGAAGTAGTAGTAGAGGCCATCAAAGGTCTCAAAGTTATATTGACCCCAGGTTCTGCATGTCATCTCCCTCTCAGCTCCAGGATTTGGAACTGAGGACATGAACCGGGAAGTCAGAAATAATCAAGATAGAATTTGCAAGTTCAGGCTAAAGAAAAGGAAGAGCGATCAAATCATGTGTCCATGCACAAAGCATCAGGAGCTATACTAGGGGGGCTTCAGTCACAGCTTGACCGGGTATTTTTTAAATTATTCATAAGATGTACCTGTCTGACACCGGTGGCCAGTGGCCTGAAATAGGCTGCAGTCACATGACTTGGATTGAGTGCACCAACCACCATTCAGGCATCGAAAAGAACATGACTCTACAAGAGATTAAGAAAAGTAGTTACAGTACACTGTTGCTCAGGAACATGCTTTTTAGACATAGATTACCCATCTATTCATTATCTTACTTTCTATGAGATACATCCTGGACTGGCCGTCAAGCAATCGCAGTCCACATGCACACTTAAGACAAACAACCATTGACGCTCACATGGATGGACAATTTAGTCTTCAACTATAGATGTTTTTGGAATCTGGCAGGAAGCTGTAGTACCGGCACAGGGTGATCAGGCAAACTCGACACAGGAAGGCGTGAGTCGAGATTCGAACGTACTGCCTACTGCACCCAAAGTGCACAGCCAAGCTTCACAATTGTCAAATTCAAAAGTCCCCATCTGGCATTTGGAGAAGTTGGGCCCCTCCAAATTGTGAAGCACTTTAAGTTTGTTCAGAAAAGCAATCTGATGCATTATTTGTATTATTCTTAACTTGCCAGTAACTGCACACATCACCAAACAATGGCTCCTCACTTGGCCTATGACACCATCTGTTTGTTGGGCTCCCAGCATGTGTGTCCACTCAGCCACATCACACGCAAGTGAAGGTATCAAATGGAGGAGTTCATTAGTCAGGCAAAGGTTGTTTTCCTTCTGTTCACCAAGTGGGGGTATAATGGAGAGTTTCAATTTTTAAAGTCACATTCAAAGATGGGGGGTGGATTGTAGAGACACACACAATTTCCTCGACCTCACAGTGCAGAGGTACGGGGTTCAATTCCAGCTCCGGCCTCCCGTGTGGACATTGCATTTACTCCCCAGGTCTGCGTGGGTTTTCTCCAGGTACTCTTTCGACCTCACAGTGCAGAGGTACGGGATCAATTCCAGCTCCGGCCTCCCGTGTGGACATTGTATTTTCTCCCCAGGTCTGCGTGGGTTTTCTCCAGGTACTCTGGTTTCCTCCCACATTCCAAAAACATGCATGGCAGACTGATTGCAAAAATCGTCCCTAGGTGTGAGTGTGAGCGTGGATGGTTGTTTGTCTGTGTGCCCTGTGATTGGCTGGCAACTGGTTCAGGGTGTCCCCTGCCTATTGCCCGAAGACAGCTGGGATAGGCTCCAGCGCGCCCCGCGACCCATGTGAGGATAAAGCGGTTCCGAAAATGGATGGACAATTTCGAGTCTCAACTCAACATACATGTTTTGGACAGGAGTAAAACCCACACAGAAAAGTTCAAGTTCAGACAGATTCGTAACACCGACTGCATACATTCATTCTTGTGTTTATGAAGTGAAAATGTACCTGAAATCAAATGAAACCGCAGGGCTTCTTTTGCCTTTCTGGTGAAAACCGAAGCATTAATTGGACGTTCATCATGAGAGAAGATTCTGTTTGCAAGGTTTCCTGTTGGGTTACTTGGTGCTTGGGTTGATGGTTTGACTGAACCAATCGGAGCTTTGTCAGAAGGAGATGGATTTGATGACAGTGGGCTGGTCAATGTGTCCAATCTATTTCTGGATTGGTTGGCTGTTTGGCGAGTAATTACAGAAGCTACTGCTTGGTTGACTGGAAACTGCCTTGCTGTTGATTGGCTGGAGGATGACTGACTTGCCTGTATCCCTGCTTGAGTCGATGGGGTGACTGAGGATTTTCTGGCTAGTGTTGTATGTGAGGATGTTGTAAGGCTGTCCGATTGGATGGCTGAAGCCAGAGTGGTTGGTGACTGGCTCCTGAGCACTGTCTGGGTTGAGGATGGCTTAGAGATTGCTGAGGTGGTTAAGGATTGTTTGGATTGTGCTTTGCTGGTTGAGTCCATGCCGGATGCTGCAGCTCTATTTGGTAGTTGGCTGAGAGATGCTGTGGTCACTTGTAGTTGCTTGGATTGTTCTGGTCTTGATGGTAATGTACCGGCTGATACAATTGATGAAAATTTTGTAAAGTTCAAGTCCAGTCTTCTTTTGGAGATGAGAGATGTGTTCGACAAGTCCTTGGCAGTCGTGGTTGTGTCGTTTTGACTGACCAGAGATTCCATTGAAGATGATGTGTTGGGAACGAATGGCACATCTGTTGATTGAAATCCCTAAAAGAAAGGAAATTGACACTCTGTTGGCCTTTTACTGGCATAACCAGTCGACCTAAAAAATTGTAACCTGATCCTGACAGGATGTACTAACTAGGGTGCCTGGATTTCATAAGAACAACTTTCACACAGAAGGCTACAATACGCAAGAAATTGTAAATATCATTGCAAGTAGAATGGTCATTTTGTATGAATGAAAGTCTGGAACTAGCAAAGCTTTTGTATGTGAAATAACAGCAACACTTCCACTGACTAAGGTGTCTACCTGTCCATACATACAGAACTTTTTCGAGTACAGTATCGAGAACAGTACTTGAATATTGTTATGAGTGATTGTAAGCAGAGGCCCATTGGTAGTACAGTGGTTCAGAGCCCTGACATTTGGGCAGCTGGCGCGGATTTGGTTTCCGCTCAGTTACACACATGGACAAGAAAGTGTCAAAGTGATGGGGCACTGCTGAGGAATTTGAGAATTTGGCTCAAGGGGACCTTGGCAGTGTTGAGGAAGCAGACCAGCATCACTCCAAGAACAAGTCCCACTTCCTTCTTCTGCTAGTGCTTTCTTAGATGATGCTTCAGCTTAAACCTACCTAGTGCCTGCTCGGGCTCGGTGCATTGGGGAGCCTGTCACCTTGGGGGGCTTACAACACTAGGATGGCACAAATGAGCAGTTCCGCCCCTGACTCATGTCAGGGCTTCGCAGCCTGTCAGTGTGCTGTAAGGTGGCAGCCCCACCTGCTGACTACCCATCGCAGGGCCAACTACCCAGCATGGTGAAAAGAAATAGTTACAAAACCCGCTTCATGAAGTATTTCCAACAATTTGGGAACGTTTCTGTTCATGAACACTTAAATCCCATTTAGGTCGCTGCTATAAGACTTTTGCTAAAAGTGGCTCGGCTCCTCGGCATCACAGAGACCACTGTTACCTCCCTGTGTGACGCATTTATCATTCCAGACTTTTGATTTTCAAATGTTGGTAATTCACTGCTTTTGCAGATATTAGGGCATTCTCTGAACTCTGTTCCAATTTTAGGTAGCTATAACACGACACCTGTTGCTTTGTCACACCTCAAGTAACTGCGACTGAGTCGTCATTGATGGGTGACAAAGTTTGCCACCAAAGCATGCCACTGAATACACTCCAGGAGATACATTCAGAATATGCTTTACTGAAATAAATGTGCAAGAGGGCGGTGATTTTAATGCCCTACAAGTTACATAAAATTAACTTGAGATTGTTCACTTCTACAGACAAAACAAGAAATGCCCCTTAGACTCAAGGTTCTGTGGCTACCTGAGCTCTCAAGCCAAGGCTTTCATCTCAAAGAGCAAGAACGAAGCAGATGGCAAAGGGAAGTATTGGGGGAGGGCATATCCAATTAATTATTCAGCAAAGGTCAGAAGCGGAAACTGAGAGTGAAACAAAACTGGCCACATTGCAGCTGACCCAGATGTCAAGGATTGGACAACCAACGCAAAACGACAAAGGTTTTTTGGGGGGGATCTAACATGAGATAGATCTGCTCCGTGCGCCTGTGACCTGCGACCCGCTACCCGTGCTCCTAATTGTTTTGTTCCTTTTTATAGCTTCTGTTGTTTTCTCACGCCTTTCTGAGCCAAAGGAGAGTTGGACAAAAGGAACAACCACACTGGGACTGATGAGAAACACTGATAAGTGAAGTGAGACAACCAAAGAGTTTTTCTATTTTCCTCTTGGGAATTTCTCACGTCTGTTCCTACAGAAGAAATATTACGGGTGTTGTTTCGAAGAGACATTTTATGGGCATTTTTCATCAAAAGTGTTTTCCTCATGTTTATTTACAAAACCAAGCTGATGGAGTTTAGGCTATGTATTTATTTCGTGGAGTAAAGTATATGAAAAAAGATTGAATCTATTATTTTTCTCTAGTGGTAAGTTTATCAAGTGTGAATTGTTTTTTAAAAAAAAATCTAAAGAACATGTAACATTTCCAAAATATAATCTGACACAATCTTATATCTATACTTTGGGTCGAATATTATGCTTAAAAAAAAAAGAGCAGAAATGACCAAATAAGGAATAATGAGCAATATGTCATGAGAGATGGGCCTGGCGAGAGAGTTGTTACAATCCTTTCGGTAGCTCATGTTTTGGTGTAAGTAGTCAAGATTTTGAGGGGGATCTCACTGATCCCAGCAACTCCATCAGCATGGATGGTGAATGTTGCTGCCTACCTGCCTTCCCTGGGAAGTGGTGTCCCATTTCTGCTGCTTTATCCTGGTGCTGTTGCTGTTGGGAGAAAGAACAAGGACAGGTCTGTTCCCGCTGCCGCTCTCCCTCAAGATTCCCCCATCAGCATATCAACCAGAAAACCAAACTGTCAACCAAGGGAATAATCAACATCTGCCTGTTTAAAAATATCTCCCAAAAGGCCATGTCAAAGTTGTGTCAATTGCTCTCTGCAAAAAAAAAAAAAAATCTAAAAAAAGATTGCGTATCCTTTGGAAAAAATATCAAGGCAATTAACAGTTTCACATGAAACAAAAACCTCTTCACGACTGTGAGTATAACAAATGAAGCTAGTAGCCGATATATTCTTTTCATCTAAAATAATGCAAATGACAACTTACTTATATAATTCATCTGAGTTTGAATTGTCCACGTCCACATCACTCCTTGACAGTTGCACTGAAATCAAGGTAAATTGTCAGGAGAGTAATTATATTGTTTCGAAATACAGGATGTAAAAGCAAACAAACTCATCATTTTATCACCTAGCTTTTTTGTTTTCATGACAGCACATGAAAGTTGTATCACCATTTTATCAAATTGACTCACCTGGATAAATTAAGCTAAAATATAAAATGAAAAAGTACAAAAGCCTTTCCCAGCTAGTAAGTCCTAAGTAGGGATCCATTCGTGTTTTGCAGATCCTCAGTCAGTCAGGTTTCGACAGCATCACCTGGTGAAATCCCCCCGGCTGGACTCCCGCTGCTGCCTGCTCTGCTCCATCCGGCTCATCCTCGAGGCGCTTGGCGAGCACCTGAAGAGCTGGTGCACTTGCTCATTAGCATAAAATATGCATAGGCGGGTGAGTTGGTGGGCGGGACCAAGCCAGTGAGGTTGTCGAAACGCCTCTGCAGAGATATTAAACTATACAAGTGTGGGCATGCAATAATATCGGGGTTAGCCTGTTTGCCGCAACTGAATTCTCAGCGCAAAAGTGTAGCTGATCAACATGACCCCTGAACAATCCCCAAAGGAAGCCACAACTCCATTTTCAGTGCGGTACGCTCAGTGTCTCTAGCTGCCCTGGCTTCGATTGGCGTGTGAAGGGCATCAACCACCCCAGTATGCTTTGTGTCACACAGTAAGGGAGTTTCATTTTTCAGATATGGGAACAAGATCAGAATGGAAACGTGTAGGGAGGAAGGACATTTTAGGGACTCGACATTGAACCAAAACATTAAATCGACCTGCTGTGCATGTACTTCTACCATAAATTCATGGGCAAACAAGTGTCCATTTAACCAGGTTAAAGTACCAGCACCCATACATGACAACTTAGGAATGTTCGTCACACCTTCATAGTGTATTTTCTCATTTTCGGCAACCACAGTGTGAGCATTTCTTTGCGCTACACCCATTCCCATTCAGAGCAGGTGTCAGATGTGCATTTACCAGTCCTGTGTTTGTTTTTGCAATGAATTCACTTGACTGAGTTTAAGTTTAAAATAAAATCCAAGAAAACGAAAAAGCACAGGAGGAGTCTAAGAAATGGCATTCTGGTTTATTTACAGGTAATGCAAAATATGCACACTTTTGTTTACGTGTTTTGTATTTGTACAGTGGCAACCACTCATGTACTCTTGCATGTGCTTAAATCATGCAGTTACTCAAACGGTTCAACAGAGACATTTGAAAGAGCACAACAAATGTTCACTATTTTGTCGAGGAAGGTCACATCATCTTCATCAATGTCAGTGAAATCTACGGGGAGAGTACTTTGCAAAATTGTGTACTTCTGACAAAGATCCTTGATGACTCTTTGGATCTGCATCCGAAGAGATGCTAAGCAACTGGTGTTCCCCAAGTCAACAGGGTCTAATTGGTTTTTGCCACAAGTGAAGGCGAGCATTTTATTTTCAGCTTGATCTGAATGTATCTCCCTGCTCACATGAAAACGTGGGTTTGCTAGAACTAAGTCCCCGCGTAGCAAATGACTTAAAAAATTGCTTTGCTCTGTGATGAACTTATCACTTGTGGGTATCAGATACCCATTAACACAATATTTCATTGATCTTCCACTGAGCACATAGTTCCTTTTTAAGCACATTGAGTCCCCTTGTGTAGGAAATGTGCTATACTGTATACAGTACAGAAAGCTGCCTTGCCTTTCCTCTCAATAAATTCAGAAACTTACAGCATTCTAGCATTAGAGCATTAATTTGAGGTCACAAAAAAATAGCGATATGTCACTTGTTATGGATTTGTTGAGCCTTATATAAAGACGATTTGGTGTTAAAAAAAAAAGCTTTCATTATACCCCTAATATACGGTAAATTCATTCATTCAGCAGATATATCCATACATACTAGGGTCCTGCAGTATGAGGTGTTGGTCGTGCACAACCCATAGTCATGAAGAGACGGCTGTTCATGAAATGTAAACAAGGCTGTGATATGGTACACACTGTAACAGCAGCCTAATGACCATTAACCCAGAATTACAGAAGCGCTTGCACTTTGTTCAGTCTCTGGTACGAACTGCGGCCTTATGGTTGGGTACCCCTGATATGCTGCGCAGTGCACCTTGAGCTGCATTTTCCATAAGCCACAAGTGCTATATACTATACCTGCATCTTCTGCCCACATAGCTTCAGTCTTCTTGGAATCTCCTGCCCAGCTAGCTTCTGTCTTCTTGAAAATTGCTCTCACAGCTGGGCAAACTTTTTTATCATTCAGGGTCAATGGAGATGTCACTTGCATCCCATTTCGAAGATCCTGAAAAGGAGGTAAGTTTGATATGATTAGGAGTATTGACCAAAGCAGTTGAAGAATACTGACATTACGTTTTACTGAAGATGTCTGATTACTGAATGGCTTAGTGATATGCATTTGATTAATCACTTTGATTTCCACATTAGCATCAGCATGATTTGATGTGTTGTCATCCACTTCTGTCGCTTCAAGTAACTCAGACACCATCTGGAATGACAGTGATGCAGGCCTTGCCGCTTTATTTGGGAACAAGCATAAACCCCTTGATAAGTCAGAGTGTGTGTAAGGTTTTGTTGGTCTGATTTTTATATATTTTATCAATGTTTTTTTTTTAAATCACATCGGGAGGGGGGCCACGCTCCCTCATCCTCACATATACAGTTGTTCTAATGTTATTGGGTTTAAACTGTTGTGAACATGGCACCCGCATTTTCTTACAGGAGTTAAGAACAATAAAGAACATCTACTGTGAAAAAATAACCTTTGTAAACATATGTACCATGTTTCTAAATACTGCTACGCGTTTACGTGTGCAAAGCGGCTTTCTGAGCACTGATCTCTTCTTTTTAGTAAAGTGCAACATCAATCATTTGCCTTCTTTTGAGGAGACGAATGCTGCAGACAAAAGCAACCATACCATTTGTACAGAATTATCATGCTATAAATAAGAATAAGAGACAGCTGGGCCGAGATAGCGGCTACTGCTCATTGCGAATTTGGGATATCGAGTGCTTTTGTCAGAAGAGGAGAAAGCAGTGAATGACATGATTCGCTGGAATTGACATCAAACAGTTTTCAAAAAGATGTATGGGTCGAGCAAAAGTATGTCCTCTCTTCTATTTTTAATATTTCTATCACAAAGTTAGCGCTGTTTGAATGTCTCACTCTGTCTCATGCAACCCTGTTCTGCGTATGATCAGAAGAGGACAATTTTGTTTTTCTTATTTACATCACTAAGTTTGTCCTCTTGTTTAGTAGTAACAGGGAGCTAAAAGGCCAGCTTCAACTTCTGAGAGAAAGCTGATATTTGTCTGCATTTGCAACCGTGGTACTGTGATTACAGTGACAAATATCGTAAACACCAAATAAATCATGTACTAAAAATGGTACTATTGATCTCAACCACCGAGCCCCGACCAATGTGCAGGGGCACACCCAGTGCATATTCATCATTATTTGCGTGATTAATAGAGTTGTAGGTATATTAAAATAACTCTATACCACTTGCGTGCTCCTCTTTTCGGGTGTACCGCAGCTGCTAATATTCTTCCCACTTAATCTGGTTTGAAGTCATGATTGTCGAATGAAAAATGGTTGGCACCGCAGCTGGTTTTCGATTGGGTCGAACAATACCCGTGTACCCAATGCTCTCTGCTCAACTTTTGTTGAAACACGCCGGCTCGAAATGATCAGCACAGAGTTTGGAGTGCTTGCTTGGCACCCACAGTTGTCCACACTTTGCCCCCTTCCGATTGACTTTCCGGATCCACTGGTCACGTATTACTTCATCACTTGGGAAGCTAAAGAAGCTCTTGCCACTGCCATTACGATGTTTATTACAGCCAGCAAACCATCGTAAAATATCGAAATACAGTACTATTGTAGACAATAGGAAGGAAATAACCACGCGTGCACAACAGTACAACGAAGACACTCGAAAAGTGGAGGGTACTCGATTCAATCATCTGACGATGCATTGTGATTACTGTATATTTATCCATTAAATTGTTGTGTAACTGCTACACAAACACCTCAAAATGGTTTGTAAAGTGGTTCTAAATGTATCCTGTGGGATTTTCTCTGGTTTTATTGTTCGACTAAAATGGGGAGGACTTGTCTTCATTTTTGCCTGCTTCCTTGTTCTCGTCTGGTCGCTTCTTCTTCTTATGGAGTTATCTGGCGGTCGGCAAGAAACGTTCAGGTGCATTACCGCCATCTACTGGTAAAGAGTGTGAACCAGGTGACACGGTAAACTGTAATCCCAAAACTCGATTACTGTACTGTACTCCCAAATCAAGGCTCCAAATGGTGACGCCAAATGAAATGTAGCCAATGAAGAAGCGACCAGGAGGAGTGAGAAGAGGAAGGAGGAGAGCAGTCATCGGATGTAAGGGCTGTTGGCATGAAAGACGACGTTGGAGCTTGGTGTGAACTTCACAACTTGGACCTCCCAGTTTAAAGGAGTGTTGTAATGCACTTTAACTGTTTTGAGATTCAATCCGGTCATTATGGGGGTGGGACAAAGGAAAAATGGCATTTCCGCAGGTACTCGACTGATTTGGTATTTTAAAAACTATTCAACTTTTTTCTCCTTTTTAAAAAAATGTTGGCCTCAGTAAATTCACTCAGAAACTGCACATTTTTAGTTATTTTGTAAGTAGATTATTTGAAATTTGATGCGTGGAATGTAAAATGTCCTCCAATTCTGGAATGACCCACATCATGAAATGTTTTCAACAGATACAGCAGTTAACAAAGTTAAAATTTAATTATAAATCACTCGCTTTCCCTGTAAAACTAAAAACAGCATTTAAATACAGAGTCAATGGTATGCGACATTTCAAAACAAATTTATTTCAAAGAATTGCAATGCAAACAAGACACTTCTCTCCTGCATCATCCATCCATGATCTGAACCGCTTATTGGTTCTAAAAAAAATTGTGAACAAACCAGACTTCTAGCTTGATTTGTTTTTTTAACTTAACAAAACAAAAAGAAGCTTGACATACTAATCTAAACATCTGATACTGAAAGTTCCGGCAGAACTCACCTAGGATGCAGAAAATAAAGCAATGTTGCATAATCATCCATCCATCCATCCATCTATCCATTTTCTAATCCGCTAATCTTCACGAGGGTCGCGGGGCGTGCTGGAGCCTATCCCAGCTGTCTTCGGGCAGATTACGCAGTCCACCCTGGACTGGTTGCCAGCCAATCGCAGGGCAGATTAAAAAAAAAAACCATTGGCACTCAGTCACACCTTATACTTCTGAAGTCCTAAAATATGAGCCAACGCTATGACCGCCCACAAAAGTAACTAAATCATTACAGTAAAGGCAACAGAAAAACATTTAAAAATTCAAAGCTTCAACAGCCCAATTTGTTCTTGGTGATCACAAAGTGGTTGGAGCAAGCTGTCAAATCGGTCAATTAAGATAACATGGCATAAATAACAATTAGGCAAAAAAAAACATCAATTTTACAGATTACACTGCTTTAGGTTGTCAAGCATTTACTCAGTAGCAATGATGACCGTTGGATACATACTTTTTTTTAAATTTCACCCTTTGAAAAACATGATCCATCACTAAAATAAAAACCTTCACAAAGGTTTCCATGTTGGGCAATATTTGACTACTGGTACATAATGTTGAAGCAGTGACATTGAACATTGAATTAACATTGAAACTTCCTGTAACATCGCAGCAAAGTAAAATCATGGACACCGTTCAGCGCAAGAATTCATATTTGTGAGCAAAACCACATTTCATCTCAATTAGTTTTCATAAACTAACTGAACTTTACTTAAACTGCATGTCAACCTCTTTCAAAATGTTATCTTGCCTCTGCAAAGCAGTCGCTGCTTTTCCAGATCCTTACAAAAAAAAAAAAAACCTTGGGTAGGGATGGGTCCCAAAGACGGCACTTTTTTTCCCCTCGTATGAACCAATTTGGGCCAGTACTAGAGAGCCAAATTGTGTCGTACACATGAAATCAAAGGATACCAGGATTCGGTTCCACAGTGAGTCTTTCGAAGTCTTGACTGTGCGAGAGACGCTCAACTTGAATGCCACAGTACACACACATCAGCATAATGACTTCACCCATTGATACAGGATTTCATACACTAAAAATACATTTCCAGGTTTCGAAAGCAAGCGGGACTCGCCTGCCAGCAACCCAAACAGTTTATGAAGTACATTGTAGTGCTGGTGAAGCCTCACACTTTCCACCTTTGGTTGCGCATTTGGGGGAGAAACCTTTCGGTACTGTGCCCAGATCCACACAATAGGTGTGGGGCTGACAAGGAAAACGAGGACGCCACTTCCCTCTCTGCCCGGCCGCATCACCTGCCTCTGCCTGGCACCAACAGAAAGGCCCATCTTCCCTCACTAAATTGAATCATGCTGGGAGCTGCACGGCTTTACCATCTTTACAATATATAGACATTGTTTCAGAACAATACTTAATAGTAATACTACAGTTTACATTTCATTTATAATTTCATATGAGTGAAATACCGAAAGATTTTAGCCAAAACGTGTTGAGCATTATGCATCAGGTCAGGTACATTCAAATGATTAAATTTACCCCAATTATTTTTCATTCTCATTCACATCCTCTTCCAACTGTATTTATTTGCACTATTTCAGTCCAAGCTGCATTTTCACTCATGCATCATAGTTTTTGTATTACTGTATCACTTCCTTGTGTTTTCATTGCATAAAAAAATCCAACTTTGCTTCACACTTTGTATTTTATAATAATTTGTATTATTTACTGTTAATTGATAAATGCAATGTCATTATTTTTACTACAGCTTCTCTGGCTCGTTTGAGTTGAATTGTGTTGTTTTGTTCTTTGTCCAGGTTTATAATTTAAATATAAACATTTTTAGATTTTATTGTTAAATATTTTACATAAATTAGCACAAAAGTACCCAAAATTGGTAATGTTGAGTACCGGCATCAATTCCCAGGTATCGGCAATCAGAAACGAACCGGTTCAAACGTGCAAGGTACCCATCCCCACTCTTGGGTTCAAATTCAAAATTCTGATTAACAGAGAACATGCATGTTCTGATAGTGTTCAGTGCGTGTGAATGTGTATGAGTGTGTGTGATTTTGGAATGGAGACTCCTGCGAGCTCCCTGGAGAGTTGCGTTATCTGGGCCGGTGGTTGGCAAGCAGGAAATCTTTGTCTTTGCAGGTCAGGCAAAGTTTGAGGTTCCTCAGGGACCCACCAGCAGAGTAAAAGGCCCAAATGCCCATCAAGAACAAGATTACGTAGGTGGGAACCAGGCTGGCAACATACTCCGGGTTCTGGAAGGTCTGTGAAAGGAGAGAGATCAACTAATGCCAGTGGTAAACAGTGAAATGGCACTTCATTTTTGTAATTTTGAGATTATTAGAATTTTTATATGAATAGACTATCAATAGGCCTCTCGAGGTTGAAGCTGGGGGCACCCATCTTACGATGCCATTCTTTCTGACAACTTCTATTATTTTTTCACTAAAAACACTGTTCGAAGAGCGTGTTTAAGGCCAGGATCCCTGTATGAAGTCAAAAGAACACACTTAATTGTTTGGATCCACCATTCAGAATACTGTATATTACCAACCGCACTTTCACTTACCAGACAGGAAACGACCAGGTGGCTGATGACAACGGCAGCAACTGCCCACCACTGCTGCTTCTCACAGGCGTCAAAGAAAACCACACCCCAGAACATATGGAGAAGGATAATGGCCATCGTCATGAATGCTAGGAAGGGAAAAGAGAGAAGAGTGAAAATGCATGCACTGTGCATTTCCCTTTTTCCACATTATCAGTGTACGTTTTCATAATATATGATAAACTTTGCCTCAGTCTACCATAAAACATGAGAGTGGGGAGATGTTTGTGTATTTTGCATATAGTCTTGTGACTTCAACCACAAGATGTGGCTAAAGAAAAAACTGTTTTGTTTTAAAGCAAGTTGTGATAGCCATGTGAATGAGGGACAAAGACATAAATGGAAGGAAAAGGAAGATACTGAGCTGGAATAGTAAACATCTGGTCAAGCTATGCTGCTCTCTCAAAAGCAACAAATCAGTAAACAATCACATCAGCATTTGCCAATTCAGAGATATCGTCTTGAAACCTATTTTATAAATACATTTTCAAAATTATATTTTTTCTTTTTTTTTTTGGACTCAAGCTAAAGCAATAAAATATTTGCTTTGATGGCATCTTGGTGCCAAAAAAACTGTATCTCAGTGAGTTGGTGAGCTTTAGTTACACAAACGTTGTACTTTGCCACCATCTTGTGGCATCGATAGGTGAAAGTAGTTTTACAGGGTGGCAAGGAGTGGCAGCTGCCACCCACATTGCATCCAATGCGCCTCCAATTGAGCTCCTGACATGTGACTGATCCCCCTGTACTTTTGTTTATGATGGCAGGATCAGAGTGGCAGCAGGTGAAGGGTTTACAATGGAAAGGAGTAATATAATTTATCAGTCAACATTCCATCCAAGTGAATTCACATCTCAGTTTGATGAAAGGAAATATTGAGAGACCCGTGCAAGCTGGACAGGTTCATAACACGATAACTATCACAACGTCAGGTGGAGAGAACTACAATGGTGAGTCCTGGCAGTCTTAAAAAGGTTACAAGATCAGGTTATGGGCCATGAGTACTTCAACTTGCATGGCTTAATCTTAGAGACGACGAAATGCGGCTCAGGAGAAGGCAAGCCTCAGGCTTGCGGGGCATCTTTCCTCTTTTGCTATGGGCAAGCGAAGAATGGATACCAACAAGGCGGCAGGCTCCGTGGCAAAGCAGCCAAGTGGATCTGCGGACAACTCGGCCTCGCTGTCAGGCGGGTGCCTTGGCCTCGCTCTCGAGCAGGCGCACTGGATATGGAAGTAAGTGGCAATGGTGCGGTCACTCATAGCCTCCCAGTGCTGGAGAGCGATCCGCGGGCCGGAGGAGCCGTCCCCCCGAACGCCCGTGCAAGGCTATTTTTCTCTTTGCAAATCAACAAGTCCACAGTGTCACAAATCCTGCACTGCCGTTGTATTTTGTTGCAAGCCGATCATGTCCAGCTGCTCTCTCACAGTGAGGTGAGATGGATTGCTCTCAAAAGGTCTGGCCCTTAATTATTTGTTTTAACGAAGGAATGAAGTCTTCTCTTTTCTTTTAGAGAAACATTCAATGTTTTAAGTTTTTAAACTCGAAGTGTATTTGATTTAGTTATTATTAATCATAATTTCTGAATGGGCTATTTCGTACAAGAAAAGTTGGGCTCAATGCTATTTCGTTTAAAAAAAAAAAAAAAAAAAAAAACTTGGACCCCAAATTCAAAAAGATTAAGAACCCCTGGTCTACAGTGTGGTCAGGCAAAGAGAAGCATGAGGACTACAAGCTGCTGAAGCATGAGAAGAAAGTGTTACCTGAAGACAAAAAGTAGTGCTGCGAGTCTCCATGGATCCCAATAGTTCCTGGGCCAACAGAGTCAGCCAGAATGTTCACCACAGAAAACGCGCCACTCATGAATCCAAAACCAAGGCCAGACACTGAAACAGATGACAAGCAAAGGAGCATCTATGTGACAGGAACCACACCGCAAACATGGTGAATTACTTTGCATTGCTCAATACCAACAGCAACCATAATCCTTATTTCTAAAACATAACTACAGTACTTCAGAGTATGATTTAAAAACTAATTAATGTCAGCACAATGTTCACCAAAGTTTGTGTATCCCTAAATGATCACAGTATGCTTTTGTGGTCAGGATTCAGTGCTGTGGCAGGAGCATTCATATAAACAGTTAAATCAATGGATTGGAAAATCACTTTTTAATAAATGTATATACGGTGTATCTTAAAATATTTCAGGTGAACAAAAATGTGGTTGTTTAATTAAGTTCAGCACAACCTTGATTAAAACAGATTTTTTATGATGTTATCTTATTTCTGCAATTGTACCATAGGCCAGTTGTCGGATGGAGATGGGCATGGTTTCCTCCTGACTGAGGGTGAGGAGCCCTTCATTTGCTTTCCTGCAGACAGAAATGCACAGATGCCATACAACAACATTGTGAACAATAGGCATCAATAAACACTATGGGTACCACTGGCTGAAAGATGACATGTGGTATGAAAATGATCCGTTACTAGAAAAGAGGGATGGTAGAATGGTGGAACAGAATGGTGTATTACAGCAGACAAACAACGGTGTTACAATAGCTTACAATATCTTTTCAGGGAAGTTGGGAGTTGGTGGATGGGGGTTGATCCGTGCAAAGTGTGCCTATTTTCTTCCACTGCTTTGAAAATGAAATACTTTACCCTTTAGACATAAGGATTGAAAAACAATGATTACCGATAATGGAAGTATGGTACCGTAGTTCCCACTGAATGCAGCAAACAAGTTCAATCTCGGATCAGAAAGCATTTCCAGCTCTCCAAAATAAAATACTGCTCTGTCTCCATCCAAAACTTTCAGGGTTGCTAACCTATGGGAATTTACTGAATTTATCTGAATTTTCACAATTTTTATACACAAACCAAACCATTTTGGACTATATAAAGACTTTGACGTCTTTGAAGTCAAGATGGCGCCCGAGTAGGCAGCCGTCAGCAAGTGCTCTCATGAGCCTTGCTTTTTTTGTTGTTTTTGTGTTTGTTTTGTCACTTTGTGTTTGTTGTTACGTCGTGTGGACCTGATGTGGACTTTTTTCAGCATTTTTTGGCCACGACATTCATCAAGGAGGAGACTCTGTGCTTGGTGGTTGCGCCTTCTCGGCTGCATGGGTATACCAGCACTGTTTTTGACTGGTAGGAATGTCGGCGCCAGTTGCTGGACAGTCCCGGGGCGCTTGTGTCTTGTGCCTGTAATGGGCAGCATTTTTCACAGCCCCGCTTTGTTCAGCGGGGAGATCGGTGTTGTTGAACGGTCTGCGGCTGGATGGATGCATGGCTTGCGGAGCCGACAATGAGAAGAAAGGAGCGTTAGCGCGGAGCGCCGATGCGGATTTGGAACTGGGAGTCGCGGCTTGGAGTTTGAAGCGGATTACGTGGGACAGGAGAAGTGAACTATAAA